AGGGTTGCAATCCCGTTGCCGGTCCCCGGTCCGGTACGGGGCGACACTGAGGGTTGCGATCTGTTGCCGGACATGGAAAAAGACAAAAAAAAAAAAAGAGTGAAACTGAGAATGAAAAGTAGAATGCTACTAGACATGTCAGCAATCTAAACCAGAATTTTGTCATGTTTGTTTTTCTGTCTTCATTAAACTTGATTATTTAAAGAATCAATTTCCAAAAAAGCACTTATTCAGGTCCTGAAGAATGTTTGATGTTACATGTTGGTGACTGTGTATGTGTGTGCACGCACGTGTGTGTCTTTGTGTCCATCGATAATTTATATTTTTCGTCACTAGATGGTGCACTTTCACTTTGAAATAAGGCATGAATTCTATTGAGGCTCTTGCTTTTTATGTTGCTTATTGTTCTGTTGATGCAGAGATGGTGGAAAATCAAATTCTTCCTTAAATAGGATCTGAGGCTCCCTGTCCTTCTACAGATGCATAGGAATTTTGATATGATTACCCAACCTGTAAAGTAATAGGCTTGGAGGTTATCACACCACTCAATACTCACTGTTAATTTTTTTGGAGAGAAAAATATCCTGTAAGAGCATTTTTTCATGTATATTGGGCCTGTATACAAGAGATTACAATTAAAATTCTTATGTGGTTTAAGCTGCTGTTTCCTATACTTGATTTAAGAATCACTCAGGAAACCAATACAATGCCAATTATGAGGTCTTCAAGGCCCAGAAACCTGTATTTTAGCAAGTGCTGCAAGTGAGTCTGATGAGCAGTATGTTTTGAGAAACACTGGGTTCTAATCACCCACAGTAGTATTGAGTGTTTTCAGTACAGATTAAGATCAGTGTCAGCCAACAGTAATTCAAACCAAAGTTGAGGAGAGTTGACAGTGAAATTTTGAATGTAGACAGCTCTTTATGTAAATACTGCCTACAGCAGTTATAATGGACATAAAAACTATTGAAGAAATGCTCTGTTTATAGAAGTGTGGCAAAAGCTGGCTAGAGTATTACAGAGACAAAATGGCCCTGGCCCTTGTTAGGATGCATTAGGGAGCGAGCTCTATGGTCCTGTGGTTGGACATCCTTCGTGCCCTGCATTTCCGCCCTTCACCTCACAACACCTGATACTTGAACATTTTAGAAAGTTTCAGCTGTCTTAAGGCCTTTGATCTTCACAGCGTCCATGTGACAGGGCAAGTGTCAAAGGAGAGATTAACAAACAGGATAAGGAGAAGTGCCAAGAACAGCCACCAGGGGGGACACAGTCCAACGAGGTGAAGGTGATGGCACTGATCCAAATTAAGCACAGCAGTTGGGATGTCCCCCACAGGAGGCCAGAGGCGTTCCTCAACTCTGAAGCTCTGTGGTATAACTGTGATTTCACCATCCCGGTCCTAAGGGAGGGTAGCTTTAAGAAAATGGTTTCCTCCCTTCTTTATTCCTCCTTTTTTTTTTTTTCCTTAAAACATTTCCCAGTTGCACCTTGAGAATATCATGTGCTCAGCATAGCACTGATTTTCACCTGGACTGTGTGATGGGGAGATGACAATATCAGGGGAGATCTGTATGGTTTAGATGAAATCCCCGCCCAGTGATTCTGGCTCCTTATCCTAGAGAACTAATGCGTTAGAAGAGTTAAAGCACTCAGGCAGAACTGCTTGTCAATTGTGAAAGGGGCTCAGTAAATGCTGGCTCACTGTCAGTGACCTGATGCATAGCCCAGGGTACAAAGGACTTAGCTGAGAAGTCGGTACATTATAGGCAGTCAATGAAATTGAGATTGTCAGTGGTTGAGATAATCATAATAAATTTATCTCTGTGTTATTAAGCTTTATCACTAAAGCTACTGGGTATAGAATTTTTGCATTACATCAATATGGTCTTGGTCTGTGACCTAGATTGCTAGGACGACTTGAGAACCTAATTAAAAAGAGAACTGAAGAGCCTGGGGCTTTGGCTCTGTTGTCTCTCTCCACCTGGAAGATTCTAGCTCCACCATCTGTCTCACCTGTTTTAAGCCTTTGCTGACATCTCACTTTCTCAGTGAAGCCTAATGCCCCCTCTCCCTTCCCATGGCTGCAACTCCTTCCTGATCCTTTTGTCTTGCTCTCCTTTTTCTTTTTTTCATGACATTTATGTTCTAATATATTGGATAATTTGTTTGATTCATTTTGTCTCCCTGCACAAGATTGTAAGCTCCATGTGGACAGGGGTCTTTTTTCTTTCTTCACTGATATATACCCCAGCTTTTGGAACAGTGCCTGGAGCATAGTAGAAGTTCAGAAAATATTTGTTGAATGAATGAATGCTTTCCCATATAAAATTCAGCAACAGTAATAAACAAAAGACAATGCATATATTAGTCACTCAGTACTAATTCTGAATAAGTGTTAAATATTCCTGAATGGAAGTTGTTTTCTTTATTTGATTAACCCTGACCTATGAGGATGTCTTCTAAATTAAGTTATCACATAACGTAAAGTGTGGATCCAGAGTTGGAAGACATTGGATCATAATGACCAAGTCTCTGAGTGGTTTTCTAGGACAAGTTACTAAACCACTTTGTGCCTTAGTTTCCCCTGTAAACAACCTCACAAAGCTGTGGTATGGATTAAATGAATTAATGCATTTAACCCCTTAGAACAGGACCTGGAATGTAGCAGGAGCTCAATTAATAAATCAAATTTATAGGTGCCTCACTTTTTAAAAAATAATTATATGATATATTTTGCAATTATGTTATACTTATTTTGCAATTATACTTATTTTGTTAAAAAAAATGGTTTAGCCAGTTTTCAGGAGGAAAAAAGCCACAGATAAATGCACGATTTGGGTATTTTCCCTATTCCTGTTTTATGAAAATGATTACACATCTAGAATGAAACAAATAATTGAATTTATTATAGAATCTCTTTCCTTATATTGTAATATCAATTTTAAAACAGAGAGTTTGGGTGTTGCACATGAGCCCTTTGTTTCTCATTTCATACAGATCCCCACATTAAGGTTTCTGGAAAGAAAGAAGATGTTAGAGAAGCCAAGGAAATGATCATGTCTGTCTTAGACACAAAAGTAAGTGAATGTTAAGAACACTCAGATGTCAGAACCTTGTCTCTGCAAGGGCTACTTCATGCCGTTATGAAAGAACCATTTGGAGAAGAAAAACCAGGAGAAAGTAATGGTGGGTTTTAAAATAAGCACATGTGATTCTTCAGTGGATGTAAAGTTCTGTTTAATATTTGAATAGGTTCTCTCATGCTGGGTAATTGAACAATATTAATATATATACACACACACGCCTTCTTACACACACATACACATATACACGTATGTAGATATATGTATGTGTGTGTGTGTATATATATATATATATATATATATATATATATCATCTTCAGAAGATGACATTGGCCCTGGTTAGTTAGTATAAGGTAAGTGATAAAGATTGCAAGAATTAGCATATTTGCCTTTATGATACCAGTATAAAACGAGAGTGATCTTCTGGACATCTCTGGGTTGTGTGTGTAATGGCATGAAATTTGATGCTCGCTCTTGTGCAGTCAAGCACACTCTCTCTCTGCAAGTGTGTGTATAGAAATATAACAGGGAAATTTAAATATGTAAAGATTTATACTCATTTTTAAGAATTTATTTTTCTTTAATAAACACATCTAAATCACATTATATTCCAGGCACTTTGCTAAACACTTCCCATTTTACAAATATTTGTTTAATCTTCATAACTAACTTAGCACAGAGATAGTAAGTAATTTGTCAGGATCCCAGAGCTGGTAAGTGGGGAGGTGAAATTCAAATCCAGGCTGTCTGGTTCTTAACCACTTTGTTTTGCCACATGGTACTTCACTGAAATGATCTCTGATCTCTTCCTCTTTCTTTCTTTTCTTTTTCTTGGTTTGTTAATGTTCTTTTTTTATTTTTATGAATTATCTACCTAATAATTATGAAATATTTTAGCAGTTTCTCCCCCAAAATGGGATGTTTTCCTGTGTTTCAAAGGTTAAACTGAAAGAACTAAGTTTAAAATCAAAATATTTAATGTGTATAAGTTTAAAATTGTAGAATTTAAAGGTTTGAAACTATTGATATTTTTAACTTTGTGCTGTATTTTGACTTTTTCATTTTACTTCTTAAGGGCTGAAGAATTTCAGTAACAGTCCTATAAATGAGAAAGAATTTCATGTCCACCTTTACCATTTTACAACACTGAATTTCCCAAAATTAAATACATGGATTCCAATTTGAGTACAGTGTTTGTGTCCATTATGTCTTGGAATTTTGCATTTTGCTCTCATATAACTAATCTTACATTTTGTGTTCATTTACCTAAGCCATTTTACTGCCAGAGATTTTACTGCCTTGTGATTTCTTCCTCACTCGTCTTCCTACCAGCAGGGATAATGGGTCTACTTTGTAAAGTTGGACATACAATAATTCAGAAATTATGAAAACAATGCTTGTAAATACTTCCTTATTTAATACTTTTGAGCTTTATTTTTATTTCTAGTTTTCTGTCATTTTAGTTCTGCAGTCCTACTAGCATGCATATCTTCAATCTTGTTTTCATCTGTTTCTATTTGTTTGAATTAATGTTTCATAAATAAAGTCTTGAAAGAGAAAATGAATAATATATTTGTAATTGTAGCTGGCTTTATTTAAAGGCTACTTTCCAAAACATTATCTTGGTAAAGAATATATCTTTCTATTTCTTAGGACAAATTTGTCTTAAAAAAAGAATTTCTTTTTTATAGTCAGAGAGACATTAATAGAAATTGAACATTTATAGAGTAAGATGATCTTATTATGAAATCTGGGTGCTTTCCCACCAGGTCATTTTTTGTTAATACTATTTCCTTGGGGGCAAAGTGTTTTAGGGAGTTGTTCCTTTTTCATGCATCAAGAAATAATACATTATTTCCACATAGAGCAATCGGGTCACATTGAAGATGGATGTTTCACATACAGAACATTCACATGTAATTGGCAAAGGTGGCAACAATATTAAAAAAGTGATGGAAGAAACAGGATGCCACATCCACTTTCCAGATTCCAACAGGAATAATCAAGCAGAAAAAAGCAACCAGGTGATTTGTCTTTCTACATGAACTTTTATGGGATGAATCATAGCCTTAATTTTTTACATATCTTTTTTGAGAGATGAGAGCAAGAAAGTAATCATATGGATGATATGTAGTATAGATTGTATGACCCTGTGTGGGGAGATTGAAGGTGCTGTGCTTTCTTGAGGAGATGAGTTGTAGGTGGACTCTGAACTCTTGATCTGTAAATGGTTCATTCAAAACAGGGGAGAATGTGATGGCCACAAATGAAGCCCCTAAGGAAAGGCTGAGAGTACAGAGCATGTCAGGAAAGGACCTGGAAGCTTGCTTAGTCCAGGAACCTATCCCTTGCCTGGATTCTGTCTGCAAAGACGCAGAAGTGGTCCTCTAGTGCATGAACACCCGACTTCCTTACACTGGCTGAATTATGTCTCTGTCTAGTTCATACACATTTTTTCTAGTTCTTCTGTTTGGAAACAAATGGAACTCATCTGTCCACATGGAAGCACTTTCAATACTTGAAGAACAGATGGTATTATTTGTGTTATTTGGAACTGTTCTCCCACCTGAACTAGTCACAATACTAGAAACTGTGAGCCCCAAAGATAAATAAGATACAGTCTTTTCTCTACTGGTACTAATGGTAACAAAGGGATGTATGTGTCAGGAACTAAATGGAAAGCCATGGAAAAAGGAAGGATAGTATTCAAAGCATTTAACAAGTGGTATGGCATGGCCATTGGCCTTAAGAGCAATGTCCTGGAACTCCTAGACCCCCACTCCAGTGCCAAGACTGACACTTTAGTTGATGGATCATGGGAAGGTCCAGGAGGTCCCAGGAGAAAGTTGGAGGTGGGTGTTGGAGCAGTGATTATTTTCCAACTGGTATGGAAGAAGTTTAAAATGTTGAGAACCTAGTGTGACCATAGCATTGCATATTAATATGCATTGTGGCATGCAAAGAGTTTAAACAAAAGGGTGAAAATGCAGTGAACCAGAGTAATTATAAAGAGAACAAGTTGGCCTCATGGGGGTTTTGGGGCTTTTAGATAAGTCCAGGGAGTGGTACAGATCAGTTGACAGATCACCTAAGAATCTTGTTAAAATGCACATTCTGATGAAGCAGATCTGGATTGGGGCCTGAGAACCTTCATTTTTAACAAGCTTCCAGATAATGCCGGTGCTATTTGCCTCTGAGTGACATTTTCAGTAGCAGGGATGTAGGTAACTGGAAAAGCAGACGTTCAATTAAAATCTAATTCTGTATTTTCTTACTTTTTCAGGTATCTATAGCCGGACAACCAGCAGGAGTAGAATCTGCCCGAGTTAGAATTCGGGTAACTGTTTATTACTTGAATATTATAAATTGATGTCAGTAATATTTGCATTATATGGAGTTAAAAATATAATAATTTATCATTTTGATCGTATGTTCAATAAATAAGCAGTAGTGGCAAAAGCTATTTTAATGTTCATTTTGGCATTAGTTATCTAAATTTTTATTGTAGGTATTTAAAAAATGAGTTACTATGTTACTTATAAACTTTTTACCATTTAAGATATTTTTTAAAGATGTTCTGGATTTCATCTGACTCAGTTTCTCTGAGGTTTTTTAAATGATCAAGATGAGGCCTGAGGAAAAATGCTATAGGCAGTATGAGTTACAAATTCTCTGGTTTTACAAAAGGCTCCTCTCATTTAAAAATCTTTATACAGCCTATCTAAGCTTATATCTACAATAAAAACAATTCATGTTTTAAAATACATCTTTAGAAAAGAACTAATGAATTCTACAAATCTCTAAATGTGTAGTACTTTAAAAGTCTCCTTCGGGTTCTCATAATTTCATTTTAGGAGTTGCTTCCTTTGGTGCTGATGTTTGAGCTACCAATTGCTGGAATTCTTCAACCAGTTCCTGATCCTAATTCCCCCTCTATTCAGCACATATCACAAACGTACAACATTTCAGTATCATTTAAACAGCGCTCACGAATGTATGGTGCTACCGTCATAGTACGAGGGTCTCAGAATAACACTAGTGCTGTGAAGGTAAATGATTTAAATGATTCTGAGTATTGTTAGTGGACAAATCATGCAAGTCTTAATTTTAAAGGATATTAGACTAATTCATTTCCAGAATTTTCCTTTGTATTGCATTTTGGTTTATGGAATGTGCTGTATTTTTCCCTAGCTGTTAGAAGTGCAATAGAATCTTTCCCTGTGGTATATGTACAGTTATTTTATGGGCTTATTTTCCTCCCACCCTTTTCTCCTAGGAAGGAACTGCCATGCTGTTAGAACATCTGGCTGGGAGCTTAGCATCAGCTATTCCTGTGAGCACACAATTAGATATTGCAGCTCAACATCATCTCTTTATGATGGGTCGAAATGGAAGCAACATCAAACATATCATGCAGAGAACAGGTGCTCAGATCCACTTTCCTGATCCCAGTAATCCACAAAAGAAATCCACTGTCTACCTCCAGGGCACCATTGAGTCTGTCTGTCTTGCAAGGCAATATCTCATGGTAAGGTTACTGAAATAAGGGTTAAAATTTGATTTTTTTTTACCTCTCTGGATAACAGAGTGTGTTGCTGTACTCACTATACTAATGTGATATTTAAGAAAGCAGTTTGGAAGCCTGGTCAAATAAGGAAGTTTCCTGGTAAAAGGAAATAAACCGGAAGAGTATGGTTCATAGTGCCTCAGCAGGCTTAATTTCATTGTGTAGGTTAGTAATTTTCTTATAGTTTTTGTTTTGTTTTGTTTTAAACTTAGAGTAAGCACAGAAGAGGTTACAATAAAATAATTGACTATATTTTGTGGCATTGATGGAAGGTGTTTATTTTGATCTGACATGTAGTATTAGTGTGCAGTTTGCATTTGACTAAATAGTCTTCCGTTCAAACAGAAAGGTACAAATATTGCTTAAATTTCACCCTCAAAGACAAATTTTGGCAGCCCAAAACATTTGTACATTTCATAAATCTCTGATACAATTTTAAAAATACTGTTTAAGCCATGTATTTGAGTGTCACTTATTGAAGAAAAATAACTTATAATTCAATACTGCTTTTAATGTATAATTTACAGTATTTCTGTCCTTCCTGTATTCATTTAAAATCTCAATGTGTGGGTTGAAATATAGTAACAAAATGGATAGACACAGTGTTGGGCTCACAAATATTCTTATTAAAAATGCTATTGTATTCTCTCGTTCGGTGCTTGACCTTTAGTGACATTTGAATCAGTAAACCTCGGGGATGACCTTTGCTATTATTACCTTGCAAAATTCATTTTTGAGAAACTTTCAGATAGTCTAGGTTTGTATTGCTGATTCCCTTCCTCTGACAGATGAGAACTTTTTAAAATTGCTAAGGACTATCCTACATAATTTTTTTTTTTTTTTTTTGTCTTTTTGTCTTTTTCCGTGTCCGGCAACGGATCGCAACACTCAGTGTTGCCCCCGTACCGGACCGGGGACCAGCAATGGGATCGCAACCCTCGTTTTTGCTCCCGCGCCTCGCTCAGCCAGTGAGCGGGAACCGGTCTGTATGTGGGATCCGAACCCTCGGGCGGGAGCGCCGCCGCGCTTCCCAAGCGGCGCACTATCCAGTGCACCACCGGGCCAGCCCCATAATTTTAAGAAATTTGTTTCATTGTGAATTATTTTTTAGTCAGCTTATATTAGGTTATTTTTAACATACCACCAATCAGGTAGCATATTCGTATCTAAGAATTGTTATAATTATTTTTCATATTTTCTTTCCTCTGTTTTTCAAGATCTTTAGATGCTATTTTTGTGAACTTGTTCAAGCATTCTGTGCAGTCATGAATTTGCATTCATACTTTGACCGTACCTGTCAAAAATATAGGTGTGCAGTGAGACATATTACTGAACAATATTGAAAGAAGTGAGGGGTAAATTAAAAGGCTTTAGCTTATATTTTAAATACCATCACCTTTTTTTTTTTTTATAGCATTATCCTTGTAAAACTTGCTTTTCTCCACAAGAGAAATGGAGCATAGTATTTTATTTTAATCCTAGTATGTTTGTTTGATGGTAACTTTTGCTGATACACATGTATAAAATCCAGCAAACAGTGGGCTAGCAATGACTGTCCTGTACGTCAGAAAAAGTATGTTACATGGTTCCTATACTCAGTACATTAGAGGCCGGGAAAGACCATCAGAGAAAAATGTCTAAACTNTGCATCAAAAGGTAAGTAGGACTTGGGTTGGTGAAGAAGCCTTTGGTGAAATAAGATACCAAAGTGCAAGATCTCTTTAAAAGATGGTCTAGCCTGGACGAAGGAGCAGACTTAGAGACATATAGACCTGCAGTTGGACAGGCAAGTTGGGTCAAAATGTGGAGCTCTTTAAATGCTGGTACATGTTTAGTTTTCATTCAGGACACAATAAGCCACCACTGTAAGTCAGTGAGCAAGGGCACAAGATCTGGTGCCCTTAATGTGGTTATCAATCTAGTTTCTAGCATCACTAACAAGACTGAAGTCATAGAATGAAGGAATTTTACAAGGTGCAGAGTGCTAAAAAATTCAGGGCCAATACCAGAAACCTAAGACATATAATTTTGTATCTAAAAAGTAGTTCCCCCCCCCCAACGTTATTCCCACACCCGCCCTCCAGGCTACGTGAAGATATGTAACTTAGCTTTAATACTTTGGTTTACTCTCTAAATCTGTAAAATAATGCATTTTTTGTGGGTATGTTAAATTATCAGGTATTTAAATGATTGACTTTTTACCACCTACACATTCTATTCTGACATTTTCTAGGGCTGTCTTCCTCTTGTATTGATGTTTGATATGAAGGAAGAAATTGAAGTAGATCCACAGCTCATTGCTCAGTTGATGGAACAGCTTGATGTCTTCATCAGTATTAAACCAAAGCCAAAACAACCGAGCAAGGTCGGTGCAGAGTCTGGACCAAGAGACCCATGTATCACATCATATTCTGTATAGTTTTATTTTGCATGCAAGTGTGTGCTTGCATATACATGGACCCGATACTCTATATAACATATATTATTATATATTGAGTTATCTTGTAATAATATTCATTATTATTTATCATTTTCTTTATATATGTGTTGGGTTTTTTTTTTTCCTTTTTGTCTTTTTCGTGACCGATAACGGGATCGCAACCCTCGGTGTCATGCCCGCACCGCGCTCAACCAGTGAGCAGACCGGTCTCTATATGGGATCCGAACCCTCGGCGGGAGCACCGCCGTGCTCCCAAGCGCAGCACTCTACCGAGAGCGCCACTGGGGCGGCCCTATGTGTTGGTTTTTGAAGCCCATTTTTAGTTACCATTATTTTTCTGTAAACATATGAGAAAGGAAAAAACGTTATTTCTTAATTTGCACTCTGATAACTTTAAGCTTTGTAAGTTACTAGAGAGTTATAGGACTACTTATGTGTTATGTGTGTATGTGTGTGTGTACATATCCAATGCAATTCAAAAATATCTAGAGCACTTGCTATATGCCAGCCACTGCACAATAGAAATTTAATGGGATAAATTTGATATTCAGTGCTACTGAGAATGTGATGAAAAAGGAATGTTCCCACATTAATATTGCTGTGTAAATTAACACAACCACTTCAAAGAGCAATTTGGGACCATCTGATCTTATGAAAGTACTGATACCCTACCTGCAGCAGGTCTACTTCTAGTTATACACTCCCAAGACCAGGAGTCAAAGGACAAGAATGGTCTTGAGTACAAAAAACAAAACACATGATAACAAGTACTGAATGGTAGCATTTGTATATATATATAAATATATATATTATATAGTTCAAAGTACAAAGCATTGTCTGCAAAGTTGCATACCAAATTCACCAGGAGTTGCCTTTGGAGTAGGAGGAAGGAAAATGAAACTAGGAAAGTAAACAAGCGGAATGATAAGATTTCTTTATCAAAAATCAGAAACAGAAAAATAACAGTTAGCTCTGAGTGTTAGGTACATATATGAGAGTACTTCCAAAAGTTCCTGGAAAGATTCATATTATCTTTTAATTCTGTTTTTCCACGAACTTTTTGAAGTACCCTTATATGTTATATTAATCTTGGTTTTCTGTATTTTACAAAAACTCTCTAAAAGGATTTACACAATGTAACTGGGTTAAGTTCACAGAAAGTTTAGAGGAAAAATAAAAAATAATTCCTGAACCAAGTTGAGTGCCCTAACTTTAAGCAGTAGGTAAAACAGAAAACAGCAGTGCCTCCCATTTTTTAATTTCTAAATCATAAATCTTATGTATGTGTAATGGTGTGTATATAATATGTATAATTTTGTGTGTGTGTAAATAATGTGTTCACTTTTCAAAAGAAAACTTTAAAGGAAAAGATAGCATTGATTCTAAGTGAGCTAGATGTAATGAGTTTAAAGTTAGAAAACAGGACAATAATTTTATGTATCGAGGAGCTTCATGCTTGACTAATTCAAGTTGACTGGAGCCACTATAGATAACAGAACAAAAAGATAAAGACAGAAGAGACATTGGAGGACTTAAGCATATAAAGACGGACAGGCACAAGAAGAATTTCAGGAGTTCACTAAGAAATAAGCAGAGGTCAGGGAAAATAGATTGTAAATGAGAACCCGAAAGCCTTGCAGCATCCCCGAGCCATTTAATGATGCTGGCCCTGATTCTGACTACTGCTTTAATTGCTTTTTTTTTGCCACATGTTTTCTGTCCACTGGAGGCTTTACTACTTGGGTTCGCATTTCCAATTTTCTACATGAGTCCACTGAGGAAATAAAAGATTTATTATTTAGACTTTTTTTTTTTTTTTTTTTTTTTTACAACAAGCTTTGCCAGTCAATGAGGAATAGTGGTACCTCCAGGTCTATTAACTAGTAGACCATAAGTGTCAAACTTAAATGACTGCTATTGTGCAGTCTATGTATGGTGACAAGTTTGATTTGGTTCACCAGATGAGATAAAGGGTTAAGGCTTTAATGTAAAGGCAAGAGTCTATAAAAGAGAATGGCCTGTAGAGTAGGACCCGAGTCCTCTTGCTGACCCTCCACAGCTGTGCCTTGACCTTGGCTAAATCCCTTCACTGAATATGAATAACGATTCCCACCCCCATAGGGTTTTGATGAGAATTAGAACCTATAAGCAGCCTCCATCATGGTGCCTGGAACACAGGACACACCCAATAGATAGTAACTAACACTTTAGGGTTTTACCAGAAGAAGGAAACTTAAGAAATAAGTGGCTAGAATTTGCAGTTGATTTTAAAGCAGCATTAATATATCCCATGAGTGGGATACTTAATAGCACGTTCATTTTCCACCTCCCTCCCCAGTCCCCCATTCATTGTAGACTACTCGCATGTCACTTTTTTTCCCCCCCATTATGTGTTTTCATAGTCTGTGATTGTGAAAAGTGTTGAGCGAAATGCCTTAAATATGTATGAAGCAAGGAAATGTCTCCTCGGACTTGAAAGCAGTGGGGTTACCATAGCAACCAGTCCGTCCCCAGCATCGTGCCCTGCCGGCCTGGCATGTCCCAGCCTGGACATCTTAGCATCAGCAGGCCTCGGACTCACTGGACTAGGTACAAAATTTGTTATTACAGCGCTTCTCAGTCACCGGGGAAATGCTTATCCGGTTCCTTTTCTTTCTACCGCTTGAGTCTACATTTAAAGGCTATTTTTCTTCTTTTTCTTCAGACCCTAAGATCATGTGAAAAGCAACCAAACTTGAATCAATCCATTTTGGTTTTTTGTTGTTGTTGTTGGGCTCTGTGGATTTTGGTTACACAGATTCTTCCTATGTTGGCATAAATAATCAAGGTCTGACTGTTTTATTCTCAGTGGCTGCATTTGTTCTTCTAAATTAAGAATGCCGTTGAGACTGATGGGGGCAGGCTGACTGTATGTGTTTGTTCTCCCCTGCATTTGCAATACTGCCATGAGTCCCTAGAGATAAAGATTATCCAGTTTGCTTTTCAAAAAGTAATTGCAAATGTGTCTGAGGGGTGGAGAGGAGGTGAGAGCAATCAGGCCTCCTCCCCTCCCCCACCAGTGGCCTGGCCTGCCTTGCCCAGGCACAAAGGAAATCTAGCCCGTTGCCAACAAGGAGAACAAATGGACCTATATTTGTATCTAAGACAAGGAATAGAAAAATGCAACAGCAACATGTATCTCAGTGCTTTAGTTCTTTGAGAAAGTAGATGAGTCACTTCATAGTCATGGTGATATTTATCGCCTCATCTGTGGATTGTTGTGTTACAGGCTGAAGTTGGTTGCTCTGTTATGGTTATGCTAGGTTCACTACTTTTTTGCACATTTCTCCATGGCCTTTATATAAAAAGGTAGTGCAATCACCCTAGCAAATCATTCTGTCATTCAGTGTTGATTTGAGACAGAAAAAATCCTGTCAGCAATGTTTAAAAATTTTTTTCTAATTGCTATTCTTGTTTTTTTAAAAATGTAATATGATTATGATACAATTAAGATTCCAAGTAGCCTTGCATAGATACCATGACAATAAAGGAGGATTTTTTTTTCCTTGGCCCCTAATCTGCCAAAGCTGTCCCTTCCACTGGGACCTGACCAGAGTCATCGTAATATTTAGCAATGCTTGTGATCTAGGAAATGCCAGGCAGGTAACTTAGCAGGAATGGCCACCAAGGAGAACAAATGGACCTATATTTGTATCTAAGACAAGGAATAGAAAAATGCAACAGCAACATGTATCTCAGTGCTTTAGTTCTTTAAGAAAGTAGATGAGTCACTTCATAGTCATGGTGATATTTATCGCCTCATCTGTGGATTGTTNAGAAAGTAGATGAGTCACTTCATAGTCATGGTGATATTTATCGCCTCATCTGTGGATTGTTGTGTTACAGGCTGAAGTTGGTTGCTCTGTTATGGTTATGCTAGGTTCACTACTTTTTTGCACATTTCTCCATGGCCTTTATATAAAAAGGTAGTGCAATCACCCTAGCAAATCATTCTGTCATTCAGTGTTGATTTGAGACAGAAAAAATCCTGTCAGCAATGTTTAAAAATTTTTTTCTAATTGCTATTCTTGTTTTTTTAAAAATGTAATATGATTATGATACAATTAAGATTCCAAGTAGCCTTGCATAGATACCATGACAATAAAGGAGGATTTTTTTTTCCTTGGCCCCTAATCTGCCAAAGCTGTCCCTTCCACTGGGACCTGACCAGAGTCATCGTAATATTTAGCAATGCTTGTGATCTAGGAAATGCCAGGCAGGTAACTTAGCAGGAATCAAGTTCATCCTGCACTAGGGAGAAAATAAGTATGCAAAGATTCAGAGTTACTGAATTTTTTAAATGTTTTTATGGCTATATCTATCCTGTGATACTTAATGCTTTATATGTATGCCTGGAACTTATATACGAATCTACATTTTATTTTAGAAAGTATTTTAAATGCCCAGAGGGAAATCTCATTACTTAAATCATGTATTGAATCCTTAAAACAAAAAAACAAAAATTTATCTTTCTGAGAAAAGTTTTCATCATTGAGATGGAGCCCCGGGAAGACACATATGTGTTTAGACATACATCTAAAAACTGTCCCAGGTAGCTTGGCCTATCTGGAACAGATTGATTCAAGTTTGCAAATAGGACAAATGGACCCATTCTACCGCAGGAAAACATTCCCTAGTCACTGCTAAATGTGAGTGGTTTGAAATGGGGTTGTTTGGAAGTGGATGACAAGTGAAGTGATGCAGAGAAATAAAATGAGTCTCCAGAATTTCATTCATCCTGGCTAGTTGACATGTGTGCAAATGTCCCTGACCTCTGTCCTGGT